TTACAAGGGCCTTAAGCCTCTTCTTGAGGGAGAAGTCTTCATACTTTTTAACAGCTCACCTCTTAATACCACAAAATTGGTCATTAAGTTCCAACACATGAACTTTTGAGGGAACACATTCACACAATAGTACTTCTCTCCTTTTCCCCTGTTGCCCTTTTTTAAACATCCTAAACTCAAACTTCTCTAAACTACAACAGTTCCATGGGGCAGAGGGTGTTGGTATGAGGATATCTCACATTTAATGCACAACATAAATACATTTAATACATTTATAGCATTTAATGTTGTAAGTTTCACTGTGAGCATGACTTTCATTACATCCTGTAACTTTAATATATTGATTTTATATTTCACTCTAACATTTTCAAATTTACCTTGAAACTTCTTTTTTGACCTGGAGATTTACAGTGCTTGGGTAATTTCCAAGCATTTGGGGGTTTTCTGGATAACTCTGCACAACTATCTCTTAGTATCTGTGGGGAACTTGGTCCAGGATCCCTGAGGATTCCAAAATCCGAGGATGCTCAGGTCCTTTCTAAAATGGCACAGTATTTACATGTAATGTACCCTCATCCCCTGAGATACTTCAAATCCTCTTGATTATGCACAATATTATGTAAATGCTATGTAAATAGTTGTCGCACTGTAATGTAGAGAAGAATGACAATACAAATCTGACAGTACACACATGATTTTTACCCCTGAATACTTTCAATTTGTGTTTAGTTGAGTCCATGGCTTTAGAACTCCTAGCACAGAGGGTCCCTGGGCCTAGAGCAGGGCCTGGCAAATAGGAAATATTTAGTCAACACCTGTCACTAATAAGCACCTGGCCCTCCCTCTCAGATTCTCTTGGGGTGGACCCTGTGCTCTGCTGTCTCCTGTCACACTCCTGGCATGCCTGTCACCTGCCAGTGGGCTCCCACCTCCTGCTCTGCCACTTGCTTGGCTCACCCTGCTGACAGCATAGGAGTCTGCTGTGAACTTCAGGCACCTGCTCCTGTGGATGTTCATCCTCCCAACTGGATGAACTTCTGGAGGCCCGGGGTTGGCTCTCTCCTCTGTGGACATCCCTTGGGCCACGAGTGTGTCCACAATAGGCATCCAGGAACACATGCTGATGAGTAGAGTGTCCACTCTGCCCATCTGCCTGCAGTTTCCCAGGGCACGTGCTGCACCCTTAGTCTCCTACTGCTCCCCAAAATAAAGAACACATTGAAGACCCCAAGATACATCTGTATCCATAGCTACTTATTTCTGTCTTCTTTCTATCTTCTCTCTCTCTCTCTCTCTCTCTCTCTCTCTCTCTCTCTCTCTTTCTCTCTCTCTCTCTCTCATCCATCTATATGAGTACAAGGTTTTTCAAGAAAGTAAGCCAGTTGGAATGGAAAATAAGAAAAATGACTTTACATAGTTAAAAAGTCACAGGCTCAACCAACTAACTTCTTTAGGTTTGCCCTCTCAATTAGGCAAAATGTTAAATCAGAGAAGCAAAGATTTAAAAGTACCATCCTTGCTAGGATGGAGCAGAAGATGCCAAAACACCATGAATAGCAACTCTAGGTGACCTGTTTCATTAGGATGAGCATGTCTCCATGTGAAGAAATCACATCTTTAGAACTCCTAGCTTCCATCTTTATTTTCATGAATGTCTAGCTGAACATTAGCATCTCCTTCCACAATGCATGTAGGTAAGGAACCTCTCTAAGGCTAAAGACATTCCTGTGAATCTCACATTTTAATACCTGTTAATGCTTCTGCAGATATCTAAATGCTCATCACATAGAGTTTCTGGTGGTTGTGAGATTTATTGCAAGATTTTTTGAGTTATTTAATATATAAAGAGGCACACATACTACTGCATCACAATTTTTAAGTATCTATGACTGCATCTCTTTGTTCTCTCAGGTTTTATTTTATGCTTTTACATAATTCTGAGGTGTTTATAGCCTGCATCAGATAGCTAAAGGGTTTTGCTATGCAAAACAGAGTGAAGTGAGTTTATGTCAATGTGTTTTACATACAACCATGTTTTACTGTTGCATAAATCACAGACTGAACTGAAAATGTTTCCCTGGTGCCAGAGCACGAATCATTAAGAAATCCGATTGTGTTTGGTATGCACTTCGCTGAGCACCATCTCTGTAATGTTCCTCTTTGACCTCTTAAAATCTAAGCTGGTTTTGATGCATTCCTTAGCAGACATGTTATACGGATGCTATCAGAACCTCCAAGTATGCTATAAGGGAAGTATTATAACTCCCATCCTGTTAGATGTCTATATGCTGAGTTCAAGTTCTCTAAAAATTGAAAAATAAATTCTAAGAACAATGGAGGTTAAGAGTAGGAAATATTTATTAAGTCATAGAAAGCTCTTGTTGGAGAAACAGAAGGGTTGCCCAGAGACCCCACTCTACAGGGATATTTTATAGTGCCAAACAATTATAAAGAACAGAAATTTGTTCAACTAATAAGGTTCAACTAATAAGGTTATAAGCATATGTTCAACTAATAAGGTTATAAGCATAGCTGCTTAGGTAACATTGATCCAATGGGGAAGCAAGTCAGAGAGTGGGCATGGAAAGATCAAAGAACTCCTCAGGTAGGTGAGGAATCTGGGGTCTTGGTTGCCCACTGAGGTGACTGATGCCTATCCACACCAGGTGCTAATCTCACCTCTTGGAAGGATGTAGGGCGGGTCCCTTTGTTGTTATCTTGAGGCCTGGCTTCCAACTAATGCATCTCCCACCACAGCTGGCCACAGCTTTAGTGGGTTTTTCAGCTTTTGTGTTGACTCCTTCAAGGGCCCAGCCTTGTCTGACTGCCTGCAATATTTCTACCTAACTCATCTGTCTATAATAGACATATTTTTACTTATTTTTATATTGGTAGTAAACACAGCATGAAGCCCTTTCTGTCCACTCTAATAGCCGAGGCCATCTCAGATTTAGGAAGGCATTTCTGTCACAGGGAAGATCAATTCCTTCATGCAACAAATGGGTTGCACCAGATCATGGGGCATTGTGGATGCGCAAAGACAAGGTTGCTGTCATCAGAGCTCAGTGTGCAACCTGTAGGTGATGGACAGGGGCCACAGATGGGGAACAGGAAGGAATCTCATGTGCCATGGGCGCGGGAGGACAGAGACAGAAGGAAGTGGTGGTTGGAATATTTGGCCAAAAATGAATGAATGAATGAATGAATGGGGTGAGGGTAAAGGAAAAAGAAAAGGTCTTGTCTGGTCACAGCACTGGGGATGGCTGGGAGACCCAGAAGTTGCTGGAGTCTGGTGACCACAGGTGGAGGGGGGAACCAGACAAGAGCCTGAGTTTGAGGACTGCTACGAGGTGACAGGTGGTGATAGTTACCTGCTGATAGGTGTCTCCAAGGGGGTGGGAGCTGGAAGATTAGGAAACATTTTGTGAATGGGCACAATGCTCTCCAGAAGATCAAAGCAGGAATTAATCGGGGACAAAATTATCTTTTTTGCCTGGAAACTAGAGCACAAATTTTCTTCAACCAAGTATTTTCCCCTAAATATGTGGTCCTAAGGCACACCTACAAGTACCATTATGTTCAGTGTCAATTATCAATAATATCAATATCAAAATTGGTATCAGTAAGTGACGGTAGGGTTTGATTGAACTTCCTAGGATGAGGCAAGAAGTGGGGTGGTTCAACTGTGGCCTACACACGATGAGGACCTCACCGTTAATACCTGTGCAGACGACCTGGTGCAGACACAGGATCTTTACTTTGCAATTGAGTTCAGATGATGTCTGAACTGGATCAGGCTGAATCCAATGATTGGCGCTCTTATAAGGACACAAAGACCTGGACACAGGCAGGTGGCCACATAACACCTTGGTTTCAGACTCTGGCCTCGAGGACTTTGAGGGAAATCTATTTCCAGTGTTCTAAGCCACCCTCAGTTTGTGGCTCTTTGTGAAGGCCATCTGGGTTAAAATCCCTGCCTTCCCTATTAGCTGTGTGAAACTGAGACCCCACTGAGCAGGTCCTCAACTGCAAAATGAATGTGGGTGTGAGCGAGAGGGTGCTGGCAGTACTGCTGTTAGTCCGCGTTCTGGTACTGTAGGAAATCTCTGAGGCAAGCAGCTTATACCTTATAAAGAGAAAGGGTTACGGTGGCTCAGCTTCGTAGGTTTCAGCTGACAACTGATGGGGCCTGTGGCCACAGTCCAACACGGTGGGACCATGTGGCAAAGGAGACCCAAAGGAGGAAGGGATGGTGACCCACAATGCCCTGCAAACTCTCATTTCCAAGACCGAACTTCATCCCACTGGGCCTCAGATCTCAAAGATTCTCAGCTCCCAGCAGCGCCACCAGCTGGGGCCGGGTCTTTAACACACTCCCCATCCAACCCAAGACAGCAGAATTCACAAAGTAGAGAGTCAGCCTGCAGGGGATCCCTCTCGGGGAGGGAGCCATGCTGAAGGGCTCAGCCTCTCCTTGTCGCCTGTGCTGTGTCAGCACTGCACACACACAGGTCCCAGGTGACACCTGTCACTGGTCTGGCTGCTTCCTACTCAGCCTCTGGCTTGGATTAAGGACACTTTTTCAAGTGGGCTTCCCATGAGCCCCATTCCCCCACCACCTCCAGCTGGGGTTGGTCTCTAGAAGTAGCTCCTGCACCCCATTTTTCTCTCCCAGGAGTTATATGCCCAGGGCAGGGTCTCTGCTGCTGGCTGCAATCAGTACCTCAAGGACAACACCCAGTGCACACAGAAATTACCCAGTTGTTCCTAAATCTCATCCCGTGGTGGGGATCGCCCGTTCCAGATGCACGAGGCCACGAACAAGGCGACCCAGCCTGCTTCCCTATGACATCGTGAGCCATGTTCCCAGAGCAGTGAGAGTCACAGCCGCTGTGCCACCGGATGACTGCTTCTGGGAAGAGCCAATGGTCTACACATAGAGGCTTCCACTACGTTTTCTTTAAAGTTTGGGTACAGAAAACACACACACACTCAACAGGTTAAAATATCCCAATAAAATTTACTGCAACTTTTGTAGAATTTAATTTGTGTAACAAGACATGTTGCATAGGAAACTATTTTAAAGCCCCTGAGGAAAAAATATCCATGGTTTAAGGTGCAACTGGTTTCTTCTTTGGGGAAAAGGTGCGGGAGGATCTCTGGGCAGAATACAGGAGAAGCGAGTTATGTGATCTTGTGTGATGACGGGGACCAAGTGACTCGGTTCTTGCAGCATAAGATGTGTAGTGTTTTGCTTCTCGTTGGTTGGTCTTCGGTGTCTGAATCAGAAGCTATGGAACAATGTTTCAGCCCCCAAGGGATTACACACCCACCGATCTGCCCAAGTCGTATTAACAAGTTGCAAAGGAGCAGTTTAAGAGCGCAAGATTTGGGGATTCCCAAGGACCCAACAGCCCTGCAGACAAACACATGCGTTCTACCCATCACTGGGGTCGCCTGGCTCTGCTGATCTGCTGGTCACAGGTCCAGCCTTGGGCTCCCTTTCCCAGACACCACAGCCGCTGGGAGACTGGATCAGCAGCAGATTCAAGCTGACTCCCCCCGACAGGTTACTAAGGCAACCGAGCTCCCGATGTGACATGGGCAGCATTTTCATTTGCAGAAGACATTCAAGCTGCTAGACGATCTTTTTTCTCTGCAGTAAGTGGTCTCCCTGCTACGGCTCACTTCTGAGCAGACCTGGGTGGACCAGGAGGACAGAGGTGAAGGATGAGATGAAAAGGGCCCCTTGCATGTGGCATATGACATCAGCCACACTTTCTGTGTTGGCAAGGAAAGGGCAGGCGCTTGTGCTCTGCCTTGGAACGGCCCTCCTGGCCCGAGGGGGACACCCAGCACCCTAGCACTGCAGGACCCCCTCCCCATGCCCGACACAGGCAGCAGCCCCAGCCGCTTTCTCACTTTAGCGGCGGACACAAGCTACCCGCACCGGGTGTTGCCGCTGTGGATTTAGCTGCCCACAAAATCTCACCACAGCTCCCGTGTTCTGTGGACGGTCAGGGAGACAGCAGGAGGCAGGAGGAGGAAGGTGAGAAAAGTAAGGGGAGGCCGGGGACCAGGGCCTTTCTGGGGAGGGGGCACCGCTCTGCCCACGCAATCTACCTGTCTATACCGGGAGTGGGGTCCCAACACCAAGCGGCGCCTCTCCTGCCCCACCAAGTGTGGAAATGCACAGAATGGCTGAGAGTCAGAAATACCCCATGGCCTTTAAATACCTATATACATCGTCACATAATTTAAAAAGTTCTTTAAACAACATAAAAACTCAACAGCATTTGCCTACTAAGTTTGTTTTTCTTTCTTAGCCTTCACGGTCCATTATAAAATTAGGTATCACCTTTCACACGACCCCTCCCCAGTCTTTTTTTTTTTTAAGTGATCTTAAATTTAAATGTACACTTCAACAAATAGAAAGCTATTGATTGGCAATAACCTGCAGTAGAAACCCCCTGGCTGGGACGGCAGAGCAACCTGGGTCCCGGGTCCCAGGCCCCAGGTGTGGCCCGGGGCGCAGGGCGCGGCCTGTCGGGCGGCTGTGCAGCCCCTGGCAACAGCAGAGATGCTCAGGCTCGTGCCTGGGCCAGGGCTCGGGATCCTAGGCACAGCAGGGCAGGGCCCGCATTCAGATGACAAAATCATCGTGGTCCACGGGGCTGAAGGCGGCCGCCCGCAGGATGTCCAGCGAGTTGACGAGGATGAGTGTGCCCGTGAGGTGCTTCCAGCGCTTGGTGATAGGGCTCTTCATCTTGTCCAGGCCGATGTGCAGCTCCTGGATGACATCCCGGTAGCTGTCCCCGACCTGGTGGCTCCAGGTGAGTAGGAAGTCGTACGCGGGTTTCCACATGGCCTGGGGGTGGAGCCGCAAAACACAGAAATAGAGTGGAGAAGATTAGGTGGGGGCGAGAGGTTTGTTCCAGTTACCTTGTTCACTTGGCCACCAGGACTCTTTCAGGGTGAACACCCTGGGCGGGGCGGTGCACACCCATAATCCTTACACTCTGGGAGGCTGAGGCAGGAGGATAGCATGTTCAAGCCCAGGCAGGGAAAACTTGGGGAGAACTTGTCTTGAAATTTAAAAAAGGGCTGGGGATGGAGCTCAGTGTGAAGGTTCAGGGTTTAACCCCCAGTTCCACTAGAGAAGTAGAGAGAGAGCGGCCCACAGAGGCAGCAGGGAGCACACCGTGTGCGTTTGCACAGCCAGGACATCTGCTCCTTGACCATCCCTGCCGTCCTCCGGCCATGGCACATGTCAAAGGTCACGCTCATTATTCTTGGGACCTCCTGTTCCCTGGGTCTCATGAGCCCACGCCACCTTCCAGCAAGCACCCTCGGTGACAGTGTGGAGGCTGAGCCAGGCTCCCCCATGACAGCTTTTCCCACAGTCAGAGAACAGCACAGGGGCTGAGCCGGCGCAGTGCCCGGGGCCTGGCCGTGAGTGGTCACTGTCCGCACCTTATTCACTGTCGTGGGGAATCAGCAAGGGAGAGCAGTTCCTGCATCCAATTCCAGGTGCAGGAGCCCGGCTGTCTCCCCTGGACCCTCTACAACAACGCAGGCCTTTCACTATCGCCCCCTAGGGCGGGGCAGCCGAGGGACTGCTCACCTCACTGTCCACCACCCCATTCCGGTCGCGGTGGGGGGACTCGTACGCGTCCATCTGCTGCTTGGAGACCTTGGCCAGCTTCTCCGCCAGCTCCCTCCAGCGCTGTGCCACCTCCACAGCCGTGGTCAGGAGCACGAAGTCCTGGATGAGCCTGACCACAAGGCCCTGGCAGTCCATCTTCAGCAAGGCCTGAGGAGGAAGCGGAACCGTGTGAGGCGGGGCCGGGCCTGGTTCCAAAGGGGACCACAAGGCCCTTGACATAACGAGCTAGGGGAGGTCGTGGGGGCCACCTGTGAGTGCCGTCCCCTCAGGAAGCAGTGCCGAGCCCACTGCACCTTGTGCGTGAGGCTGAGGGAAGATGCAGTGGCCCACATGTGGGTGGCTGGCCCCAGCTGTCCTCGCTGTGCGGCTGAGCCACCGCAAACGCGGGTGGCCTGTGTAGGTGCACGGTGGCAGAGGTGGAGGCTGTCCGGCTTCCTGGGACTCCAGGCCCAGCCCCCCAACGCCGTGGGCGCTGCAGGACACCAGGGATGGAGCCAAACGAACACCAGTCTGAGTGGGCTATGCTCCAGTCCTTTCAAGCTGAAGTTTGATGTAGTCAAAAAGACACTGTTTTAAGAAAATAAAATGCCTGGGTTTGTGCTAAGGAAAAAGAGAAGGCCCGGTCTGTATGCGATTCTGTGTGTGGGGGCGGGGTGGGGGCATGGGCACAGTGCCGGGCTGCAGTCTTTTTGGTGTAGTGTGGGCCTGGGACAAACGGAGGCCCAAGGGTCCCCTCTGCCACCTCTGTTCCAGGAGGAAGGTGGGGGTGACCACAGGGCTTGACGCTGAATCACTGACCCGCACCGAACAAACGCGAGTGCCCGTGTGCAGCTGCCTGGCTCTGAAGGCAGCCTTATTTTTCAGGCAACAGAACATGTCCAAGTCACAAGCTTCTGATTCAAGTCACTCCTGGCACAGGCGATCAAAACTGCTCTCTCCCCAGGGGAGCTGGGCACGCACACAAAGGCCCTGAGAACTCCTGCTGCTCTGGCCCCTACTGGGGCAGCCACGGTTCCACCTGAAGTGGAGGAACACAGGTTGGAGGGTCCGACCTAGAGACAAGGGTGTTCTTGCACACCTCAGCTCCTGGAAGCCCAGCGCTGGCTTACAGTGCTCCCAAGCCTCATGTATGATCAAAGGGGGAGTCTGCATTTTCACAGGGCCAGTGCTGGGTGCTCGCCAAGTGTCGGCAACAGCAAGGGGAGTGTTTTGGGGCAGGAGGTGGGAGCCCTGGGCGCCTCCCCTGCAGCCACCTCTTTAATTCTGGAGCACGCGGTACCCACAGGGGCACCAGCAAACACCCAATCCACACGGCACAGTCCTGGTTTCAGGTGGAACTTCCTGCACCTGACAGAACCATGACAAGTCAGGCCAGCAAACTTCATCTCTGCAGGGGCAGACTGCAAACGTGGTGGCTGTGGGCCACAGTCTTGGGTGACTTCTCAGCCCTGCAGATGTAGCCTGAAAGCAGCGGCACAGGACAGATGGGCGCGGCTGTGTCCCGGGAGGGCATTCTCAAGGACAGGTGTCCATGGGCTTCTGGTGTCCGCCCACCGTTTAGATCCTAGGGGAGCGCAGTGAGTCTCCTATCCGGTCCTGCAGATGTTTGCTCCACCCCCGCCCACATGTTGGGGCCCTCTTGCACCTGACACCCAGCAGCCAGCTGCCCTACTCTCGGATTAAGAGCACAGCCAGTAGCACCGCCCACTTAGGGCCTCCTGTGTGAGGCAGAGTCACCAGGTAACTGAGGGTGCAATAGCGTTCCAGAGAAGAGGGTGTTTCTCTCAAGTCGCAGGGAACCCTCTACCATCCCCTCCAGCTCGTGTGCGTTCTCAGCTTCCAGAGCTCTTCGGGGTCACCTGGTCCCATCCCCTGAGGACAGGACCCCCCCGGAGAGGAGTGGGCAGAGGCCTTCCCTCAAGTGGCTCCTTGTAAGTATTAAAACAGGCACCAAAACAGGATGGAAGCAGACAACGCAAGCAGAGGACGGAAGCGTGGTGTGACCAAGGGGCCAGGTCAGGCCCAGGTACAGAGTCCAGGCCCAGACCCTTGCTTGCCCACTCTCCTGGAGCTGGCTCTGAGTGTTTCCTGCGGGCCAGGTTCCCCAAGAGAGCACAGGTACCAGGCAGGGACAAGGCAGGGCTCTGGGGATGAGCAGGCCCAGGAGACACCCAGCAGAGTAACCAGGGCCCTGGGTGGGACATCGAGGGCTGCCAGACAGCCTCTGGTGCAGGGACACTGGGACCACCTGACGGACACCAGGCCAGCAGTGAGGTGGGAGGCACGTTTCATGGGATGCAAGGGGCAGGACCGTGGAGAGAAGGCCAGCTCAGGGCTTGGAGGCACCTCCTGCCCCCTGCCAAGGCACCTGTCCCCAACCTTCCCCCTCCTGGTTCACCAAGCAGGGATTCTGACTGCGACACCTCCTCTCAGCTGCGGAGCTATGGGCAAGGCTGTAAGACACCTGACTACCCAGAGGAGACAGATCCTTGGAAAAGGACACATCGCAAGGGCTGGGACAGTCAGCCTGGGTTGGGGCGGGAAGCTAAAACCTGCCTGCTCCCAGCAGGTTTTGCGGTGGGGAACCCAGGCTGCAGAACCAGTTTTGCTTTACTACTGGCAGAACCAACCCTGCCTTGGGGCCCAGTTCCAGCCAAAGTCAAGTTTCATTTCCTCCTCCACTGGGCAGAGGAGGCTGGAAGGGTTTGCAGGAGCCCGTCCCTGCAATGAAGGAACCCAAGGAAACCGAGAAATCCTCTCTGGACGAATAGGCAAGTGGAGGAGAGCTTGATCATTTAAAAACAAACTGGGAGGGAAAGATTACAAAGACCGCCTCCTGTGTCCCTGCTGGCTCAGGCAGTTCCTCTCACCTCTGCCTGCTCAAGGTGAGCGTTTTTTTCAGCTGTGGAGAAGGAACAATCAATACTGTTTATGTTCCGTGAAAACTCCTAATCCCACAATCAATGGAGAGTGAGGACGGCCAGTGCCCACAGGGGAGCCAGGGCTGGCCGGGAGACCGGCATGGGCTTGGCCCAAGCTCCTGGGTCTGTCCTGCGGGTGGGTCCCAGCCTCCAGGTCCGCCGGCTCCCCCCTCCCGGCCGCCCGTCCTCTGCCACATCGCTCCCGTCACCCACTCTGGGTGACCTGAGGTCTGCTGGCTCCAAGCTCCTACACTTCGCATTTCCATGGCCACTGTCTGAGGCCTCCTGCCCAGCCCCTCTCCCCCCTGGGCGGGACCGCACGCTGCCTCCCCGCTCAGGGGTGGCACGCGGCTGGTGGCAGGCAGGCGTGCAGAGTGTGAGCCTCAGGTGCTGTCTGGCCGCAGCTCTCACAAAGGCACCTGGTGTGATCAAAATATACGGTGAATGTTTAAATTAAAACTACGTACACTATAGTCAGACACCCTGCCACAAGCCCCCCTCAAAACACCCACCCTTGCTGCAAACACACCAATCCCATCGTTCATGCGCTTCCTGAAGCAGTTCTGGCAGTCCTCTTTCCCGAATGTCTTTATGAGGTGTGATCGAAAATGCAGTGAATGCTGTTGGCTGGTGCCATCCAGGAGACAGGCAGCTCGTGAAAACATCAGTGTGTCCTCAGCCGTGGTACTCACCAGATCCAGCCCCAGGCAAAGGCTGGCTCTTCCCCAAAGTCCAGGTGACCATGAAAGGTCAATGTTTTGAACTGATTCAGGACAGCCAGGCGACCATGACAACCCAACTAAAGACACTCAGGAAAGAGGACTCCAGAGCTGCTTCTGACAGTGGTGAGAACGCTGGGATGAGTGTGTTCACGGCAAAGCGAGGGGGAACTACTGAGAGGGATTCGTGGCAATATATCTTTTACTGTAGTAAGGTTTTTAAATGTAAAGATTCACTGTATTCTTTGGTCACCCTTCATCCACGTGGATAGGGGCTCACATAGGAGACAGTGGAGGTGAGGGCAGAGCAGGACAGCAGCGGCCACGCTGCGGGAGGACAGCACCACCTTCTGTGATCAGTAGGAGTGATGAGGGCTCCAGGGTCGGGAGGAGGAGCACGACTTGATCACAGGCTTCCCACAGGAACCAGGCGGGTCCTGGACTCCCAGAGACGGGCTGAGCCTGCTTCCGCCATGGACAGAGGGCGATGTCTGCCCCAGAGGCCTCCAGGGTGCCATCAGCACTGACTGCACAGTGACTGCAGCGTCACGGGGAGTGGACTGCAGAGCCCAGGCTGCACGCGACACGGGAAGGGCTCGGGATCAGGACAGTCTCACGTTACCCCTGCAGTGGGACCCTCCCTTCCCCCTCCCGTCTTAGAGCTCTGGTTCCCAGGGGTGCTGTCCCGCTAAGGCCGCTGTCACCAGACCCTCGACGAGGCTGAGGGAACAGGGGCACAGGGAGTTGCTGGAGGCCTCACATCTGAGACGCAGACGTTGCCACCCTTCGGAACCACAGAGCCAGCGGGGAATGCGATCAAACAGATCTGCTTCCCAGGGAGCCATGAGTGCGGGTCCTGCTGCCCCCAGCCCAGCCGGCTCCCGCCAAGCAAGCAACAGGAAGACAGACCAAGCGCGCCTCTCCTTGGGGTCCCTGAGGGTCACACAACCGACCTCCTGCCGTGGGTGTGCTGCTTCCAACCCCGTCCAGCTGACCACTCGGATGCCAGGCAGCAGCACCTCACCCCGGACCCACCCCAGGGGCCGGATGCCCCCCCCCACCTGTGCCGTGTGACGGGCGAGCGCCCCCGGCCGCGGGCCCCAGCCGGGACTCACCATCACCAGCTCCTTCTGGAAGGACTTGCGGTCCTTGTTGTCGGGGTTGTTGCAGTCCTCCTTCAGCTTCTCCAGCACGGACGCCACGCGCTCAGGCTCACTGTCCAGCTCCGCCCGACAGAAGAAGGTGAGCGGGAGGCCGCCGTAGCCCAGGGCGTCGGCGAAGGCGCGCCAGCTGCTCACGTTCTCCATGAGCAGCGTGCGCACTGAGGCGTAGATGTAGGTGAGGAACTTGCAGGGCCGCAGCATCTGCTCCAGCAGCACCGACGTGCTCAGCTCAGGTCCCGAGCACAGGCTGGGCCGGGCCCTGCCCACCACCAGCACGTTCTTGGCGTGCACCAGGCCCACCTTGCCCTGGCAGTAGCCGATGTACCACTCCTTGGTCCACAGCTGGCCCCGCAGGCGGATTCGCTCCTCGCTGAGCAGGGCCACCACGTCGCCCTTCTTGTACTCCAGCAGGTACTGGTTCTTGTTCTGCCGCACCACCGTCTTCAGCAGCTTGCCGAATCTGAGGCTGGACACGGGGCGGTCCTGAAAGGTGGGGTACTTGGTGGTGGCGGCGAAGGGGGACAGGATGATCTTGCCCACCTCGTTCTTTTTGAGAAACCTCCTCTGGCCGGAAGGCTTGATGGCACTTTTTGGGGGTGGCTGCGGCGTCTGCACGCAGAACTGGGTCAGGATGGCCTCCTGGTCGTCTTTGACCTGCACCCTCAATGTGAAGTCGGACAGCTCTCCGGGGTTCTGCGAGGTGATGGGGAAGATCAGGCGGCTCACCTTGCCCAGCTTCATCTGGAAGCCTCTCACCACTTTGGCCTGCTCGCCGGCCTTGACCTCGTAGTTGGTCATGTTGGAAAACATACAGATTTTGAGGTCCTGGGGCCGGGCCAGGATGAACTGGTGCTTCCCCCACAGCTGCAGCGCCACGGGGGCCGGGCCGGGTGCCTGCCGGGTGACCTCGCTGACCAGGAGGGTTTTGGGGGCACAGTCGTGCCCGAAGATGGTCACCACGGTCTTGAAGGATGGGTGGATGTGTTTGGGACCATAGAGGCCCACGGTGACCTTCTTATTGATGAAATCCCACACGGTGGAAGGGTAGAGAATGCTGGGGCCATGGGCAACGATAGCCAGGTACATGCAGGGCTCCAGGTTGTCCAGCTGCACCTGGACCGTGTCCCCATAGCTGTAGCTGAGGGGGATGGGCACGTATGGCCCCTCCTTTGAGTCGCTCCTCAGGCACTGGAGGCCTACCGTGCTTTTGCTGAAAATGTCGCTCTTTACCTCGGCAGACACCTTCATCTCCAGGATGAGGAAGGTGTTCACCTCCAGGTTGCTGAGCTTGACCTCCAGCACGGGGCTGATGCTGCTGGACTTGTCGCTGTTGAGCTCCAGCGGGGGGTCCAGCAGGGCCTTCATGGAGATCTGCTGCGTCTCCCCAGGAGCAACGTGGCCCTCGGGCACGTGGATGCTGATGTTGGTGTCCGGCAGCTGCACGGCGCCACCGGAACTATCCAGCTTGCACACGATGTTCGTCTCCACCGCCTGGGTCTGGCCCCAACCGGGGCTTTGGCCTAGCAGGTCCAAGTCGTGGCAAGACCGGGCCAGCTTCCGGTGGTTCAGCCACGCAGTTCGGAAATCCTCCCGGCTTTGAAATTGCTCGGGGGCAGGTGATTTTAAGCCTGTGAAAAAACTTGATGTCGCGGGAGTGTCTGACTTGGCTTGCAGGACGGAGAGTTCCGACAGGCTGTAGGAACGCTTGCTTCTGAAGAAAGGGTTGTCCCGCCTGACCGGCTGCTCTGCATGGAGTCCATTTGTGGCTGGGAGCTCGTCAAAGATGTTGCCGGTGCTGTTGGTGGTTGCTGAGCTGGATTCAGTGAACGAGGATGTGCCAGTGTCGAAAAGCAACAAATCCACAGTACTTTTGGGGTGTAGCTCATCCAAGCCGGCCACCACTGGCGTATTCCCATTCAGAAAGGGGTTCGTCTGTACCCCACTCCAGAAAGGGTTATTACTGTAGGCTTTGCCGGATTCCTTCTGGTCATCCGTCCACCCCCCGAGCAGATCCAGCTCCTTGGCCACTTCGTCCGGGCTGTCTGGAAGATTGTCAATCATGCCGCTGTCGCTCAGGGTGGAGTTCCGGTAGTTCAAGGGCTGCACGTAGGAGGAAGGGATGTAGCCCATCTCGGTGGTGTTGTGTGCGTACCACCACTCACCGCCCGATGCATCCAAGACATAGAGATGGTCGCCCTTGGAGAACTTCAGGGTGGTGAAGTTGGTCGGGCAGTAGTCCTTGATTGCGATCACTTCCTTGGCGTTTCCAAAAGGTGTGGGGTTGTCCACTAGCAAGGCACTGGGAGAAGGCACTGCGAAAGACACAAAGGGCCAGGGGGTGAGGTCACTTCTGCAATGAGTGGGCTAAGCCAGGGAGGCGACTGCCCAAAAGAAGCAAACCTAAATGAAACTCCAGGTGAGGGTCACCTGGCCAGCAACCTGCCTCACTATGGAGTGCCACCACCACTATGCCACCTGGTCACTCTCCAGGTCAGTGGGCTGAGGCAGAAAGACCATGCATGGAGTCTGTCCACCTCCCACAGAGAGCCAGATCAGCACTAAGGGACAGTGTATGCTTCTTTGTGTTCAGAATATCTTTATTTTTTAAATTTTGAGACAGGGTCTCATTAAGTTGCTCAGGCTGGGCTTAAACGTGTGATCCTCTTGCTCAGTCTCCCCGAGTGCTAGGATTATGAGTGCACCATCACGCCTGGCTAGAACATCGCTTTTTCTTTATCCAGCTTCCTCCCAGAACGGTGGAAGAGAGGCTGAGAGTGAGATTCTTAGAAAACACAGGGACATCAGGAGTTAAACCACCCACTGCATGTAGCTGGGACTGGAAATAAAGAGGCCTCAAACACACCTTACAGTGGCTGTGCAAGCCGATTCCCTGCTCTCCTCCCATGGAGAACACAGGAATGCGGACACAGCTCTTCACCACAGTGTTTCTGAGATGAATGACGACGCCTGAGCACAGTCTCTTTCAACTTGTTCTAAGTGATCAAAGGCACAGCAGGGAAAGGGCCCCCCGCCCCACGCCACCGCATGGTTTAAGTCTGCGCGTGGATATGGGCCGTGGATACGGATATGGACCATCCACGGATTACAGGACGGTTTGAGCAGCCGAAAAACACCAACCCTTCAAAAACGAATCAGGTCAACCTGCGCTTCCTGGTGTTAAGTTGTGACCATTACCACCAACGCTGGCAGCAAGGGCAACAGCAAAAATGAGCCATCTACAGGGGCGTGTTTTCAGAAACGGGGCTCGTGTCACAGACCCGTGTTCTCCCTCCTTCCCCAGCGTGAGTCTTTGAGATGGAAGTCCCTTTTGCCAGAAACGGCCTCTCTCCCCGAGGCTGTGTCTGCAGACATCCTGGCTTCCTGGACCAAGCATGGGAAAGAAAGGACACTTTTGTTTTCCCCAGTCACTCATATAAATGAGCAAAGGAGTACCTTTTTCATTGAACTGAACCTTTACCTGTTCTAATGCGTGGTTAAGTCGATAGCTATTCTACCACTTTGGCTGGCCTTAAGCATGTACCACACCTGCTAGTTTCCTTTTCTCTTTGAAAAAGAATAACAAAAAACTAAATTTTAAGTCCTTGGTAAAGTCTAAGGAAACAACACAGGGAGTTTCTACGCCTTTCCACTCATGAGGCGACAGAGATGCACCTGGCTGAGAGCGTACCCCATCCTCCTGGGGAGCCACCCCAGCCCTTGGTCTGGGCACCTCGGTTCTGGCTCTGCAGTCACAAGACCTGGACCACAGTCGAGGTCCTTAAGAGCTGTGTGGCCGCGGGAGCCTGTGATTCTTCATGCTGAGGCATCCTTCACGGGCTGAAATGCTGTGGGTCAGGTGTCTAGGGCACTGGTATTTAGCCTATGGTGATGACTCAGAAAATGTACCTGAAAACAAAACATCTCCACCCCTCCTAATTTTTTCCACAGCTCTTACTGTAGGGGCAATGGGAAATGTTCCTTCCAACTCTGAAGGTTCTCTGGAAAAAACAAACAGTAAACAGGCAAAAAGGCACACAAATTTATTGATGTGCAAAAGCGGAAGGTCACAGGGTGGCTTGAGATTACTCAGAGATGTACACTCCCCTTTGCTGTGGAGAAGCAGGAGAATGGGAATGTAGGACATCTACTTGAAGGGAAACAGCGAGTGATTTTCAGGGAAGCCCCACTGGGTTGGAGAACACGTTACGGCTGGGGACTGTGTCTGGTGTGCAGTTTGTAAATGATGCTCTGCTGGACGGAGACAGGACAGCAATGTGTGACAAAGGCCTGCGGGTGTGTCAGCAGCCTTGCCTCCTGCCACATGAGCTCAGCCAGTGACGCTCAGCTCCACGCAGGGGAAGGCCGGAGGTGGGGAGGAAGTCTTTCCTCAATCGCCACTCTCCCTCTAGCTTCCCTTAAGGCAACCACACTGGCTGTGGGTCCCAGACCTCATCTGTATCTGGTGGGACCCAGGGTATGGGACTCCAAATTCAGCTGTGGGAACCTGAGGCTCAGGACTTTCAAAGCCCCTGGGGCAGAGCACCCCATCCTGGGACACAGGGGATCTGTTCAGGACACCCTGGTCCTGCCACTAACGGCAGACCCACATCACTCTCTACTCTCCACACCCCACTGATCCCAGGGTGGACATACCCACTTCACCCTTGAATGTGGCTCGTCATTCCCTTATGAAGGCTCCGTGTCAAGAGGAACACCTGCTAAACCAGCGGCTAATCTGTCTTTGTTACCTACATAGGCCCAGCCAAGAAGGGCAGAAGAAAAAGAGCGGCCCTCGGGCGCACTTCCTGCATTCCTTTCTGTTTGTGCAGGGAGGGCGGCCTCAGCTTCCTCCCCATTAGGTCGTGAGCCCCAAGAGCCCACTTTGCTTGTGGTGTGCCCAGGCCGGCGACAGGTGGTGCCCAGGCTTGGTATTGGGAAAGAGGGGCAGGTTCCCCTCAGAGGCTGAGTCCCCTGGCTGTGCCCTTCTGCTGTAAAACTACAGCAGAGGAAACCGAAGCAGCAGCGAAAGAGGCCAGCGTGGGGCGGTTCCAGCTTTTTCCTGCTCAAGCTCCACTACTGGAGTCTGCTGAGATCAACTGGCAGCAAACAGATCAGCGGGAGAAAGGCACAACGAATGGATTTGCTAACCACAGCTTCTCAGGCTCGAAGCCTTCAGGTCCGAGGCCTGCACACTTGCGGTGAGTGATCCATCTCTGTGCTTCGGTTCAATGAGCACGGACAGCCGTGCAGCAAGGAACCTGGATTAAGGGTGTGGGCCTGTGGGAACCATGGGCGAGTCCAGGAGGCTGCCTGCCCTGGCTCTTCCGGGCCCCTGGACCTATGTACCCCCTACCCCGTTGCGTGGGGCAGAGCCCTCTATACTAAGGCCTTGACTTCTGTAGGGAAGGCTGTGCCCCAGGAAGGTGGAAAGATAGAGCAGGCTTTGGGGGCTCAGGGCAGCTGTAGGGAAAGTGCCTCTGGTCTCTCTGACCCACTCTGGGAAGCAGAATTCTAGCTTCCATGATGTGAGCGGCAGGTGAAGGGAGGGACAGGAGAGGGTCAGAGGGGCTTTCATCCTGGGGTGCTGCTTCCTGAGCCCCAAGAAGGGGTTTGAGGGAGGAGTGGGGAAAGGGACCGGGCCAGGTGGGGTGAGTGGGTACAACACAGGCCCTGTGCTTCTGCTTTTGTGCCTGGTCATGGTCTCTGGTCACATAACTGCTTGGTTTCCTTGACACATCTACCAGAAATAGAAATTAAAAACCAAGCGAGAATGAAATAAGCTTGTCAGCCATTAAAATCTTGTTATTACGCTCCCTACATTATCCCTATTATGCTCCCCCAGAATAATTAATTCTCTTACAGTACTATCTTCAAATTTAAAAACCCAAAGCAATTAAGCATGCTTTGTGCATAGCCTAAAATGTATCAATGCAGATTATCATTTCAGCTTCACCAGACCAAAGAATAAGAATGGTTTCACTTAAAATTTCAAGCTCCTTCCTAGGAAGAGAAGTGTTCCTGTATCTCACCTCTGAAGGACCAGCTCGTTGGAGGGTAAAGAGCCCTCTCTCCCTCCGGGATCCCAGGGGGGTGGCCTGTGATGTGACGCCCTCTGCCCGCACTGCCACAGAATCGAATTCCAGTTCAGGGGAGCACTGCTCAAATCCTCAGCTACCTTGGTTTTAATACAAAAACTCCCTGGACTCCCTGCACTGAATAGTATATTTTCTACCCATCTGCCTAAGTTTCATGCAGGCAAAACATTCATCAGGGTAGAAGACTTGAGAGCAGGTTATTTTGGCTAGGAGACATTCTCCCCTTCAAGTCTGTCCCAGGAGGATGCCCGTAAAGGTGCAGGCTGGGATGCGGCCTGGTCACTCGCTGGACCCTGGCATCAGAGTCCAAAGGTCAGGCGGAGCCTGAGGTCCCTTGACCCTGGGGTCCTCAGAGTCTCAGACACCCTCTCCACCAGTGCACCAGCCCTCCTTGCTGTCCTCTGATCACTAGAATTACTTTGTAAAATCCAGCTCCCTGCTCTCTTGAGGACCCTGGTCCAAACTGCACAATTCATGCTCACCCTCTCTGACTCATTGGGTAAAGAAAAGGTTGCCCATTACCAGACTATAAGAAAGAAATGGTTCCGGTATATATAGCAACCCACAGACTCCACGGCTACCTTAGAAAACCCGTGGTACTCTTTGCTGGTCTCTTGAAGAATATTTAAAATGATGCTCAGCCAGTAACAGGAAGGGGAAGATGCAAGGGGTACAGCAGGATTAGGAGCAGCTAATCAATGAGAAAGATGTAAACGTGGCACTTGGACACGGCAGAGGGCCATGCGTTTGTCTGGGGGACTGCAGTTTTGTTCCGGACACCTTTACTTCATACTGTGTTCATGCCGAGGTCTAACTAAGGACACAAAGGCAAAGTCTCTACTGCTCCGCTGTGCTTTAACTAAGGATGTCTTCACATCCTCCTACCCCGGAGGGTTCGCCACCACCTTGCTCCCTCCCTTACTGTCTGTTAAGGTGTGTATCTAGATGTGCTCATAGGTGGGGGCTTTCGGAAGGGATGGGATTGTGCAGGCACCGCAGCCCGGTGACAGAGGCGAGTCCAGTGGTTGTGGTCGGGAGGGGCGTGGCTGGAGGGGCGTGGCCTAGAGGGGTTTATCACCCGCCCGGGCTCCTCCCTTGGTTTCTCTGCTTCCTGTCCACCATGTGCGGAGCAGCTTTTCTCTGCCAGCCCCTGTGCTTATCACCCGGCCCCGCAGGCAGCCCACTGTGGACAGACACCTCCACAAACTGCAAGCCTAAAGAAAACCTCTCCTCCTTTAAATCATGAGTGTCCGGTACTGTGTTCCAGTGAGGAAGCAAGTGACTAAGACACTATCACCGGAACTCAAGAGAAAATACAGACTCTTCACTGGGCTGGTTTCACTACCGAGGGGAGCATTCAAACCTCCTTCCTCCTCAGAGAGCAAACACTGAGACTGACGACACACAGAGGCTTAGAGAGCCCAAGTGTGATGACCTGAAGGCACTGTGAAGCACAGAGGACCTGCAGTCCCAGCCTCCCAACTCGGCCAGGGGTCCCGGGAGTGACTCACCTTTGACATCATTAAAGCTCGCCTCTGAAAACCCCTCGCTCAGGTCGATCAGGGTCCCCTCTGACTTGCACCGGGGGAGGCCGCTGGAGTTGGCCGCCCGGATCCGCTGGGCCGCCATCCCGGACCGCCTGCCTGCCCAGGCGCTAAGGTCTCATGCCTCCTCCTCCCTCTATCCACGCTGGCGGCAGCTTCCTGCACGGCGGTGTCAACTTGGCAGTGTACTTCTCCTGAAATGAGAAGAGGGGGAGAAGGACTTCCCTGAGCACGGCTTCCAGAGCGCTTTATGGGAAGAGGGGGCAGCTTTCTGCCAGGTGCTCTTTTTGCTCCTCCTGGCCAGGATCAGAGTGTGGTTGCCGGCTGCACTATGCCAGCCCCTTGCACTGTCTGCCAGGCTGCAGCACACACAGCTGCTCTTCCTGGGCACAGCTGGGTCCGTGGACTGTGTTCCAGCCCCTGGCAGCCCAGCTATGGCTGCCAACAAGGACAACCCAGGGCTGTATGGTCCACATTACTAGCTCCTAGGCATAGTTGCTGGAGGGATGCTCCCTGACCACATGATCCGGGACGCTCCCTCATCAATGCATTACGCATGGCTGCTCGGTGTCTTCGATGTGGCTTAGGGAGAAGCAATCGGGCACTGATCTCAGGGTGCACTGAACCCCGGTGTTGGTACCAGACTAGTGGGAAAGGGTTCCGTGGGAGACCACTGGTCTCGGGGGAGGGCGCTCAGGACTTGTAACTGGGGGATGACTGATGTGGGCCGGACCCTTTCTTGGGGCCCGTGGATAGGAAACAGGAAGAGCTGAGCTGACTTCCCAGTGGTGAATTTCCCATGCTGTCCAACAGAAACAGGCAGACGCAGATCAGCCGGCCCATAGCACGGGAGCTGAGGGTGGGGTAACTGTCACCCTAAAATAATGGGGCTCACATAGTGTGAAGAACAAGGAGGATAAGCCAACAGAGGTGCTCGGGAGGCGATGCAATGTCATAGAGGATGCCAAGCGCCACCACCATGGAGCAGAGCCTTAGTCCCAGCTCTGCTTTGAGCTCAAGACCCAGAAGGCTACACTCCTGAGGACATGGAGGACTCTGGATGGGACCTGCTGAAGGGTGCTGCTGTTCACTGTCATGCGTGATCTTCCTCCGGTGTCCTCCACGTCCCCCCAGCCAGAGTGGAACTGCCCCCTCTGCCAGCCTTAATCCCTCACAGGGTTCTGGCTCCCGGCCAGGAGATGGGGTTAAACAAGCCCAAACGGGTGCAATCACAGGCGGTTGGCTGTGCTCCACGGGGCTGCCTCACTCTGCCCTGGCTTTGCTCTACAGACCCGGCGTAGCTGTGCTGGACACCTGCCGGCCAGGGCCACAGGGTGCTGGAGATCGACCCTTCCCAGCACCTGCACCCACATCATGCCTGCCTCACCAGGCAGCCACAGACAGGCAGAGTCTGGAGATGAATTACAGATCTGTCTGCTACGGATGAAGACAGAGCCGCTGCCCTGAGCCAGTGCTGGACAAAGCAGAGGCGTCAGCCATTCTACACAGGTTGCGCTGCCCGCCTTGCTGACCCCTTCTTCCCAGACCTGGAGCTCAGTGTTGATGCCAGCGGCTGTCAGGTCCCTGAATCTCCTGCCATCTGGCCCTCATGGGTCCTCAGTTTTCCAGGAGAGTCCTCTGAGGTCACGCCACTGTCCTGCTAAAAAGTCCGGATGCTCCTCCCTGGCCGGGCGCGCTCTCCACACGACTGCACCTGGCTTCCCCCGCACCTTCCAGGCCTGTGCCCGGCTTCCCTCAAACGTCAGAATCGACTTCCCCAGCCATGCGGTGTCTGCGCTCTTGTGCTTCCAGGAACCTCGGGCTTCTCCCCCATGCTCCGCCCGCCTCCCCAGGCCTCGATTTCAGAATTCTCGTGATGTGACGTAATTTATGAGCTGGCCAGGACTTGCAGAGCCATCACCCCGGGGCCTCTGGTCTCTGCTGCCAGGCACCATGCCCTCGACTGTGCTTGGCTTTATTAGAGAAGTGCTGTTGGGTGATCCGTTTCACAGAGTTGCTGAGGTTCGCCCTGCTGCTTTCTGCATTTGCGTACATGCCCCCAAATGGCCACAATTAGCCATGTTTGGAAACCAGGCGGACAATAGGAGTAAACCCAAAATTGGCTGCCCTCCTAGCCCTGTGCCAGGAGTGGGTGGGGTGTGGCTGGGAAAAGTCCTCAGGAGCCACACCCCTCAGGCACCCTGCACCCCTATGAGGACGAGGGGCCTCTGAACTACTGATGCGGACACCTGCCGGCACCAGGAGCTCTGCTTCAGTGCCAAAGGGGTGCCTAGATTTCCCAGGTCCAAAGCCAGCTCCTCGGCTTGCCTCAGCCTCCATGCCCAGCCCCTCACTTCTGTCCTTGACAACTCCATTCAGCCAGCTGAAAAGCCACACACACACACATGCACACACCACACATGCACACACACATACACATACACGCGTGCACAACACCCTCTGCAGCTTACCCTCCACCTGACCCTTCCCAGCACCTCCACCCACATCATCACAGCTCGATTACAGTAATCAGTGCCTTCCTACGGCCCGCCACAGTCCAGCGCTGCACCTCGCAGTCCACCCCTCAATCAGCAGCCAGACGCTCCCAGGCCTCTATTAAACCCCAAGACTTCTGAGCTCTCAGAGTGTGCTTATGAAGCCTCTGGGCGCTGTGCTACAGCCCCCGCTGTCTCTCAGATCCCATTTCCTGCCAGTCTCCCCTCCCTGCACCCACTCCTCCCAGTGTGGAGGCTCCGAGCCCCTCCTGCCACAGAGCCCTTGCACACACTGTCCCCAGTAGCCTAGAAAAGGCTGCCTGCGAGCTCAGAGACTCGACCTCTCATTCACTCAGGTCTCTCGCTCCAGGACGCCCCTCCCCACCTCCTCCCCTTTCACTTTACCTCTTGTCCCACTCCCTCATGAAATGTAGCCTTTCAGCCTGCTTTCTCCTGCTGGGCTGAGGTGGACCTGTGTATACCTGGCTCTCAGACACAAAGGAATGGGCGCTACAAAACACAGGGGAACGGTGTGGCGGTATCAGGATCTCTGGGGTCATCTTCCTGGAGCAAAGTGGCCAGCGGGACTGGATTATACACAGCAGGCCAAACTCTGGAATCCTGCTCTGCTCGACACCTAATTACACGCGGGTCACCCAGATGGCTGCCTGGATGCCCCAGGATGGCCTGGCCCTATAAGCACGGCTGCCCTCTGCTCACCAGGCCCCAGACGCATGGCTGGACACGGCAGAATGACTGTCGGATTCTGGTGCCAAACCAGGCACCTGCACACGCCTCTCACCTGGTGCCAACGTGCCGCTCTGCGGATTCCACAGCCACCCTCACTCAGGGCGGCCCCTACCAGTGTTCTGCCCCGGGAAGCAAGTGAACCACAAACCCGCCCAGAACAGGAGCGCGTGTGGGGCAAGGTCTCACGTGGAGTGCTGTGTGCACAGGAATCCGCCGCACAGCACAGCGGGCCGCGCTGGCAGGAGCGTGGCCTGAAAACGCTGCTCTCGGTACCTCTCGGTGTCTCCCTCACCAGTTCCGGTCCTGCCCTACCATGACCCCTCTCCATGCCTGACTGTGATTTCTGGAGCACCACCTCGGCTTCATCAGATTTCCGACAGCCTAATGAAACTGAGTTTCGATGGGCTCCTGCGACTTCCGTTCGTCTCCAGCCTCCGTCGAAGGAGCCTTACCACACTGCCCACTTGTCTCCCCATGACTCCCATGAAACAGGGTGTCCCAGGAACATCTGGTTTCTGCAGGGTCACCTTAGGGAGGCTTACGGGGCCACCCTGACCACCAAGGGGTGAATACCCAGCTATCTCCTGCAGTGAGGGTAAAGCCACGGAAATTTCCCCTCAAGTCCGGGCCCAACTGGCCCGGACAATGACCGTGGTGGGTCACGTGCCACACGGCCCTATGGTGGGATGTCCAGGAGTGGCCCGGCAGGGACTTCAAATCTCACCCTCTCCTGTGGTGGGACATGCGTGCACATGGACATCAGACCCATTTCCCAGTGCCCCCTCAGGGTGTGTTCAGACCCCAGTCCTGGAGCCCGAGGAAAGGGCATCTCCAGCTGCCACACCTGCTTGGATGGTAGCACTGGGTCACCCTGGTGAGCAGTGCTGAGCCCCAGGTTCTAGGAACCAGGTCTGTGCTGGGGACAGAAACCAAGCAGTGTGTTTCTGGGAAACGGGTATCTGAGACACACAGACGGCACACAAGCCCGATGGCCGGGAGCTCCGCAGTCAGGCCTGACCGTCCTGCAGGGCTGCTGCTCCAGGAGCACCGGGGCTGCGGGGAGGACAGGAACTGGACTGCAGCGGGTGCACCCCACCCCCACCCCTGGTCTACGCCAGGCGGGCCGCGTGATCATCTCCGCAGCAGACCGACTCCATCACTTCCTCGCTTCCGGCAAGCACAGGGGACAACCGGAACTTCATGGCTCCAGTGTCCAGTATGGCTGCTGGTTCCTTCAAGACTTCTGCACTGCTCAGGACCCTGCTTTCTCGAGAGAGCCCTCCAGGGCTCCCTATTTTGGTTACAGAACAATCTTCCCATTCCAGAAGGACACCTCCAATCAGTACCTTTGCAGGTGGACCCCCGCTTCTGCTCAGAGCCCTTCCAGGACCCTCAGCGTCTTCTGTTTCTGTGGCTCCACCCTGTGCCTATCCTGATCACCTGCTTTCTCCTCGCTGTTTCTCCTTGGTCCTCTACCTCCCGTTTCCTTGGAAGCTGCTTCCCTGGCAGCTCTGTCTTGTGATTTCCCAGCACCCGGCACCGGGCACCAAGCACAGAGCCCAGCCTGGCGGGTGTGCAGGCCATCTGCCACACCACCCCAAGAGAGTACGGGTCCTGCACCCTCACCCTGCTGCTTGTCACCAGCTGGGAAGAATAGGCAGGGTTTCCTGTATGTCTCTGGGACATGGGGGAACGGGATGCCCAGAGACACCCCGTGTACTGGTTGTGCCATGTGTGTCCTGGTGGGTACCCTTCATCTGTCGCCCTCCATCTCACCCTCCTACTGAAAACCACGAAGGGTTCAGAGACGAACCCACACACGCCACTCGAGCGCCCGCCCAGTGTGGGATAAAGAGGCTGCTCATGTCCACAGTGGTTTGTGGTCGGCCCCGAGTCACCCATCCTGTGACACAGCCTCCCATAGACAGGCGGAAAGGAGGGTCTTGTGATCAGCCGGGCCAGACACGCTTCCCAGCTTGGTGCGCAGCCAGGCGGGGAGCACAAAGATCTCCGCAGTGTCCCAGCAGCCGTGCGCCCGTGAGGCCCATTCATCTGACCGGGCTGCCTGGGGCTCCTGACTCCATAGGACTCCACGGATACATCACCCAAGACACAGAACGGCATGAGGAGGGCGTGTGACTTCCACACACTGGCCCCCGATATTTCTCCTTAAAGAGAAATACAAAAATAGATCCAGTTCTTTAAATCAGTCCACTTTTGCCAACTGTTATTTCAAAGGGAATCTCTCTCTCACGACCTCAGACAGACCTGAAGTGTGTTTTCTGAGAACTCAACTGAGCATTTCAAGCCAACCTCAGGTTCCTCTCTGGGAGGGCAGGTCTGGCGGCCCCACTCCTACTCAGGCAAGGCATGGAGGCGGCCTGCACTGGAAGTGGCGGCCCCGTCCTGAGGCTCCGCTATGGAGCTCAGGTTGAAGTGTGGGGTTGGAGCGGCTGGAGTGGCGGCAGCTTCTAGGCTCTAATGTGGTCCCTTGTTTCCTGAGGGTCCTCATCAGTGACTCCCACGTGCCGTGTCTGAGGCTCCCGTTCAAGACAGGCATTTAATGGGGACAGGACAAGGGGAATGAAGACCAAGGAGCACCAGCTCACCAGGAACAGCTGGAACTCGACCAACACTGTCCCCGGGACACCAGCAACGCTACCGCGTGCAAACCCCGAGGGAGCTGCCGAGAAGGGCGATGGCGGGACGGGGCGTCAGGGCCTCCTTCCTCACTTCCTGGAGAAGGGCAAAGGGCAGTCTCAGGGCCCTGTGCCACATCACTGAGAACCTGGCGTCCCGGACAGTAAGCAGTCCGTACAATTCCTGCCACGAATGAATGAGGGAATGGATCTCTGTGCTGACGAGCCCCATGCTCCCGAGCTGCTAATCTAGATGCGCAGAGCAGTACGCTAAGAACACATCCATACACCACCCACATCTACTAGGGGAAGGAAGGAGGGCTGAACCAGTACCGTCCTGCCTCTCTATCGCCCCTCAAACACCTCTGTCCTTGGGAAATGAAGCGTGCGCAGAGTGTTTACAGACAGAAGCGGAACCCCCCACCGCCCGACACTGGAGGGAGTGTGGACCTCTTCGATGGGAAACAGCGCTGAAATGCACTTTCTTAGACTATTTAACTGAATGGAAAGCCCATACAGTGTACTATTGGGATAAATTAAATTCACACGTTGTACTCTACTTTGTGTTTAAAAAGGATCATTTGATCAGCAAAGAAAAGCAAATTCTATTCTGAATGCTCACACTAGTACTAGGTAGCAAATGCAAGCTTCTTCCTGCTGTTTGAGACGTTCTCAATTTTCTTCTTTATAGAAAAATGTATTTTATGTAAGGAAGCCCTGTGCTCATTCTCATTGCGCCAGCCCCATTCCAGCTCCGCAGGCCCCCTTCCCGGGCTGGCGTTCGGTCCTGGCGCTGACTCTCGCCGGAGCACTGAAGTGAGGTACAACTCCCAGGGCTGGGTCCCCAGCTTCCCAGGCACGGCTGTGCAATCCGGGGTGAAACATTTTCCTCACACCTGCTTCCCCTGGTCTCCTGATCCTTCTACTTGGGAGATGTGGGCAGCCTGAGAGAATGGAGACTTGGGAAGGGAGGAAGTTAAAGTCAGAACAGACAGTGTCAGCACTGGCAGTAAGGACCAAGCCGGCTGGGTCTCCCCCACTGCTCTGCAGAGACCAAGCCGGCCTAACCCTCCTCCCCAGGCGTCCCACATTCACTGCGATAAACGGCCGGGCAATGACGGTCTTTACACCTAATCTAGGATGATTTTCTTAGGGCAACTTCTCAGCAGAATGGCAGTCTCACTGAACGCTTTCCTGGAAGGCTGCGGCCCTTCAGACTCTCAGCCTGGTCAACCTGACAAGCAGGGAACAGGATGTCACAGTGTAAATTCGCTTTCCTTTAGAGATTTCCCAAATGCTTGCGTCCCACACAACAGCCCATAAGGGGCCAAATGCGTGAACCGTCCTGGTCCCATGAGACCTACATGGCCAGGTCACCTAGCCGAGTCTTCCACTCACTCCTGGTTTTCTGAACAACAACGAAATAGCCTCCAGACATGTTTCTCAAGATGCATCCTGCCAAGCGATGCGTGCATGACGTTATCCACCTCTTATTTTCTACCTTGTGGACTCTCACTTTGCCGCTTTTGCTCAATTACACTTGCAAACTGCGGCTCATCAGTTGCCCATCCCGCCCCCACTCGGGTGCTCACACTGCTCTGTCTGCAGACGTGATGCCGTCTCCACACACACAGAAAACGAAAAGCTTGATGAACATTCCCGTCCATTTTCCTTTACTTAAAAAACTGGTTTGTGTGCTGATGTTAATGTACAAAGAATTTATTGTGCTTCTCAGAGAGGAATTTCACAAAATTAATTAGCAAAGAGCTGTTCCCGCAGGGAGTTCCGAAACAACACGTCCCTCTCCGCTGATGTTATGTCACCTTCACGCATTTTAACGGTCACAGACACGAGGGTCTGTTCTGTGTCATTAGTCTGCCAACTTCCATATTATCAACCCTTACTTAACCACAGCCGTTCTACTAGTAAGAGAACTAGTTCCAGTGGACCAGTCTCCTGTAAAGTCCTACCAGCAATCTTCTATTTGAGGCTCCTGTTCAAGACAGGCATTTATTTTTCCTCGAAATGAACTTCAGGATGATTTCTAGTGATTTCCCACCACTTAATTCCCTCGAAAAAGTAATCTGATTACAATTTTTTTGGTATTGCATTGGTAAGGACTGATATCTTCATACTTCCAGAGACATGGTAGGTCTCCATTTATTTCATTTTCTTTGAAGAGATACAGAGTACATTAAACTTTCAGGACCAAACATTCCTTGTCACAAAGATTCAGTTCTGTTCTTGTATGAAAAGAGCCATAAATGATACTTACCAAGTGGTTATAACCATGTTCTAATAAAACTTTATTTATAAAACAGAAGTGGTGGGTCAATAGGGTTAATGTTAGGAGCAAGTGAAGCTCTCTCTAGACTAACGTCTGGCTCACAGATTCAGAGCCTGGGACCCACCACAACTCCCTAGCTGCTGACTTAGTAAAAAAAACTCACTCTTTCTAGGAAACACTTCCAGAACACTTAAAACTTTTAGATTTGAGTTTGGTGTTGTCCCAACTATGAATGTCATTTCTTTCTCCTATTATATTTTCAGGGGAATCATAGAGTTCTCCACCTGGGCATTTTAAACTCAGTACCTAGAAGTCATGTGACGAGGTGGTGGTGAAGGATGTGATTCCTGAGACACTCTGGGGTCAGGCCTCTTCTAGTTTGAGGTGGCAGGAGGAGCCGGGGCTCAGGGAATGTAGCCCTGAGCCATGCTTGGCTGGGCATCAAGCCCTGGAAGATGTCAGGAGTGTGAGCTCATGTGCCAGCTTGACCCTCCCTGAACACACTCAGTGCAGGGGTCTACCAGGCATCACCCAATGGAGCAGTCTAACCTCTTTAAAAACCACCAGTCACTCTGTGCGTACGACTCCTCTGGGAGTCCTGCCGCTGTGGGCGTGAGTAGTCAAGAGCTGGGGACATCCACGGAACCATCTGTCCACTGGAGTGAGCTGTGTAAGGCCCGATGAAGGGGTTCGGGCAAATGGCAACACAGCCAGGGGTGCACCGAGCAGTGCCCCCAGGCAGAGAGGAGAGTTGTGAGAAGCCAACCTGGTTCACCTCGTTCCACTCCTAACCTTCTGTTAGGAGTTACGCTGTGGCCTCCCTAGAAGATGAAGTCCTAAACCCAGCATTGCCATGCAACCTTATGGAAACAGGGTCTTTGCAGATAGACGACCCACTAAAGATGAGGTCGTTAGGGTAGGCACTGGCCCACAATGCCTGGCATTCTTGTTTATGAGCACGAAGCTTGGACGCGGACAGCTACACAGGAAAGACAGCACAAACACTCCAAAATGTGACCGAGAACAAGCCTAGGGGAGCCCCGATACATCAGGATCTTCAGCCAGTGAAGGGACCAGCCATGCTGACGCGTGATTCTGGACTTCTAGCCTCAGGAACCAAGGGGAGCAAGTTCTGAGGGGAGTGTGCAGCACAGGTGTGTGCTGTCACATCACAGTCCACCATGGCTGCGCATACGACGGCAGTCCCAGGGGACTGGACTGCCCAGTGACTCTGTGGCCATCTTGGTCTCTAAGATGTTTACACAAGAAATCGCCCAGTGACTCACTTCTCAGAGCCATGCTGGTCACTAGGTGACCCATGGCCAGGCTGTTTTGTGGCCCCAGGAAGCCAGCACCTCTGCCTGGAAGCTAAAGCTGGCAAAGGTCTAGACACAGGTCCGCCTGTCTTTGGAGAACTGCCTTCCCCCTTCCTGGCCAGAGTGCCCCTCCTCGTCCCTGACATCACTCCAAACACCAAGGAGGCCTCACGATGCATACAAAAGTCAAGCTCTGAACACAGCGGGCAAAACTGCATCTTGCCCTCAACTTTCTCAACACAAACCGTCAGCCCTCAGCGGGTCCTATGAGCAAACATCCTCTGGGATGAGTCCAAGGCTGGTGCCACAGATACAGACCAGAGCCCCAGCACTACGGGCACAAGCAGGGGAAGCTCTTCTCCCGATCCTGCTAGAAAACTAAGGTCCTTCCAGGGGAGCCCAGCCAGCCTGCTGCAGTATAAACGAACGCCCTAAGCATCCACACGGCACTGAAATCGAACACAAACCTTCTGCCCAGGAAGGAGCAAGGGCTAGAAGCAAAGCGCACAGGCCAGGGAGCAAGCCACAAGCACAGCGAGCCTGTGAAGGACAACTTCCCAGGCCAGCCCAGGAAGCTCTGCCAATCAACGTCCAGGGTCTTAATGTGTCTTCTCCACTAAGCCGAGTCTCACCTCTACCCATCCACCAAGGGACAGTAATTGTGGAAAAGGACCAGGGAACACAAAGATGTCTGGAAACATGTTCTCACTGTGAGCAGACACACGCCTGTCTTCGGCGCGACAGGCCGCCGTCCCTGCCACCCGGAAGATAAACAGGCTGTGTCACCACTGGCGTGGCCTTGGTGAAGACACGCCAGTCTGCGTGCTCGGCTCTGCCTCCAGCCTGGCACAGATACAGGATGGCCACCAGCCCCGTTCCGAGTCCCGTCTGGACAGTGCTGTGGCCCTGGGCTCTCTCGTCTGACCCCCAGTGAAAGGTCAACGTGCCATCCACAGTGTCTTGCCCCTGCTGGTCCTCAGAACCGCAGTGAGTCCGAGCCGGGGACATGCATGGCACCAGGAAGGGAACCCGGGCTTTGGAGTGTGGCGTGAGTGCCCCGGGTCACAGGCAGCAAAAGGAAGAGGCTTTGCACAAAGTGCAGGGGTCCCACTCTTGCTCCCTGCCCACACCTGGAGTGGGCAGCACTGTAGACACCGGTGTGTGGGAAAGTGGGGACAGCGAGGAGGGGCGGTCCGTGGACGGCTCAGGTGTCCCCAGGGAACAAGGCCACAGCCACCCTCCTCCTGGTCCAGGTAAGGGGGCTCGTGAGCGATGTCCTCCTCTCTTGTAAGCACTCAGGGCCACCTGCTGTGGCTGTCAGTCGCTGACCTGTGCGAAGGAACAGAGGGAGCGCTAGGGCCCTTCCGTCTCCTCGTGGCCGGATGTCCCCAGGCGCTCTGAGCACCCGTGCCGCCTGTGCTGTGGAGAAGCTACGCTGCCGAGTTTGCAGGCTGCCAGAGTCCGTGGTCGGGGCTCAGCGCGTGGCGCACTTCCTGTGGCGGACCGAATCTCTTGCTTAGACTACTTATTTGATTGCGTGTGTCTCCGAGCCGAGGACTGTGTCTGGCCTCGGGTCCTCCGGCACCAGCCCGAAGGGGAAGTATCACTGGGTGAGCAGCAGCGTGGCCTCCCATGAGCCGGCTTCCCCTGCTCAGCACAGGCGCCTGGTCTAGGCGTCTCTCTCCGTGAAGCCCTTGGAGAGAGCCCGGCCCCACCGATGCTTCCATTCCAGACTTCTAGGCTACAGATTAAAGAGAATAAACCTTTCTGGGCTGAGGCCACCCAGTGGTGATCCCCTGTCCCTCGGGATCTGAATGGATGAGTTCCAGGATGGTCCCCGATACGGTACTAGAACCCGCCGATCCTTGGTCCAGCCGTAAGAGTGTGCAGTGTTTACACAGAACCTACCACTTCCTCACACACACTCACACCTCCCGCTAGATTACCTCCAATACGTGACACAGCCTAAACGCTGTGTCCATGGCTGTTCTCCTGCGTTGTTCAGTGAACAAGGACAAGAAACGCGTACAGAGTCAGTGCACACAATTTTTGAAATTATTTTCTTTCCGTGGTCAGTTGAAGCCACAGGTTTGTGGATGTGGAGGGCTGACTTTATATGTAGTTTGCTATGGCAACCCTAGGAAATAAGAAAACGAGCCATGTGGTGGGGACCGCTTCTGCATGTTAATTCATCGAAATATTCCAGCCATCGTGTGTGACAGATTATTGCCTCCACTTCACAAATCAGGAAACGGCTGGGCTTGGTGGTACACACCGTAATCCCAGCACTTGGGAGGCTGAGCCAGAAGGATCACATTGAGTTTGCGGCGAGCATGGGCTAGCTGCATAGCGAGAACAAAACAGGAAACCAAGGCTTGGAAAAGTCAAGCCCACTTGTCCAAGGTCTTCAGGACCCGGACCCCACCCCACCCCACCTGACCCTGATGGGCTGTGTGCAGAGGGACTGGGCAGGTGCACAGGGAGGAGCTCAGGTCTTGGAGAGCACCTCAGGGTGTGGACTGCGGAGGAAACAGGAAGGCCAGCCCACCACCTTAAGTAATGGTCCTACCGGGAACGACTTCTGTCTAAAACAACCCAACAAAAGGCCAGTTGTGGGAGATGAGATCAAGCTCTCAGCTAGGAGAGGCATTCTTCTGCAAATCAGTTTAGTTGGAGAACACCACAAGCTCCTTCCACCTCCCGGAAAAGGCTGGAGGCGCCCAGATTCACAGCCGTTTGATTCTGCATGGGGGCAATGGCGTGGACATCACACAGGAAACCCGCGAACCCTGACTCTCCGCGCAGCCTCTGCTGCGAGTCCGGGCTCAGTAGGGATGGAACGCAGACAACCCCCGACGGGTCCTTCAGCCGACAGGTGGGGCTTCCTGGCGAGGCAGCCAAGTGCGACCTGGAGCCAGTGGGCGGGGCAGGCCGAGGGCAGCTCCCTCACCGCTCTCTGTGCCTACAAAGCCCCAATTTCTCCATGGGATGAAGGAAAGGCGCCGGGGAAGCGAAGGGAGGGAAGGCGCGCCACCTCGAGCACCGCTCTGACCTGTTTCCTGGAGGCTCCTGCTCAGCTCCGGCCACGCAGCCCAGGCCGTCCTCCTCCCCACCTGCCCGGGAGCCGGCGCCCAGCTCAGTGCCCACCTGAGCCTGCAGGGGGGCCGACCCTGTGCTCCAAGCGCACTGTCTGGGCGAGCAGCCTGCCCCTCCGCTTTCTCTCGTGGTGGCCTTCAGGGGTTCGCCCCCGAGCACTGGCGGCAGGTTCTCCTCACCCCGCAGTCCCTAGTGCCTGTGGACGCCCGTCCCAGCCTGCCTGGAGCTCGGCTGCGGCATCTCCAGCCGGAAGCCGCCCTCTGAGGTTTTCTGAGCACGGCTGCTCCTCCATAAGGGAGAGAAAAGCTGGAGAGACGCTGGATGCTGCCAGGGACAGGTCAGGCTGGCCCAGCACAAGGGCGGGACAGGTGGCCACAGCCCGGATTAGCGGTGGAGCCAGAGGGCTGAGCAGCTGTGGGGCGGAGCCGCTCCCCACCCTCCTGGGTCAGACTGTCACCCAGGCGCCCCCACAGCCAGCAGCACAGTGGGATGCAGCGCCAGGCTTCAGACTGTGGGGCTAAATGGAGCTAAGTGCTCGGGTGCGAGGGGCCCACAGGCAGGCCGGAGGCGCAGCGCTGGCTCCCATCCCCTGGGCTCAGCCTTCCCCAGCCAGCTGGCCCTCACTCACCCCCTTTCTCCCTCCCACATCCCAGGAGGGGTCAGCAAAGCTCCCGCTCCTCGAAGCTTGTTAGGGCAGCGTGAACACGAAGAGAAGCCATCGGCGTGCCAACCCAAGGGAGCGCAGCCCAGCACAGGAGCTCAGGGGGCCGAAGCCTGTGGGATGCAGGTCCTGGACTCTGCTTTGGAACGGGCTGGTAGGGACAGGTCAGAGACCACTTGGGGTAGCCACAGAAAGGGCCAATCAAGGGTGGGTGTGGGGATGCTCTGGGGGAATGGCAGAGGGAGGGGGCTGCAAAAACCAGATGGGGGACAGAGACCCCCTGTCTAGATAACTGGAGTCCAGCCCAAGGCAGTTCTGCAGGGCAGGGAGGTACCTGCCTCTGCCTCCTCTATCTCCAGACAGTCATGTCCCACGACCCTGGCTGTCACCATGGGTGTGGCCAGGTCAGGGCACGGGAGGCCCCGGAAGCCCCCGCAAGCTCTCAGGCGGAATCACTTTCTCAGAGGCAGCCTCCCTGGCATCGATACCTGGGGGCTGCAGGGACTCCGTGTGGCTGGCCAGGGTCCATGCTCATCACACCTGGTGAGCCCAACACCACATCAAGCCCTGGCTCCTGAAGATTCGTGAGACATCAGAGACAGGCACGGGGCAAGAAGCAAGGGATAAAGGCCAGGGGTCTCTCCAAGAATTTAGGGATGGGGGAAGCTGCTCTTAGAATAAAATTAGAACAAAATACAAGCAACCTTAGTTGCCCAAAAGGCAGAAGCAACCCAATGGCCAACAGATGAGCAGATAAACAAGAGGTGGTCTGTTCACACAACGAAATATTATACAGCCATAAAAAGGAATTAAATTCTGACCTATGCTACATGGATGAGCTCTGAAAGCATGTTATATGAAAGCAAGCACACAGGAAAGGTCACATATTGTATGACTCAGTTTACAGATGTTCCTTGACTTAGGACGTCCCAATAAATTCACTGTGAACTGAAGACACTGTAAGTAGACCCATGCTAAGTCTAGATGCTCCATGATTTGCGATGGGGTGCATTCCAGTGAACACACCACAGGGTCCAAGAACGACAACATCAGGCATCTTGAGTCGGGGGTCTTCTGTACTGAGAAATACTCACAACAGGCAGAGAAACCCAGGAAGGAGAACAGGTTCGTGGCTGTGGGAGCCAGGAGCGGGGGTTGGCAGGGACTACTCAAGCGGCTCCTCTTCCTCTCCGGGGAGTAAAACGTTTTGGAACCAGACAGAGGTGGGTCACATAACTTTGGGAATATACGTAATTTCACTGAATCCCAATACTGCAAAATGGTCAATTACAGCATAAAAACGTCGTCTCAACAGCAATTGAAGAAACAGTGAACTGGGGCTGGGGATATAGCCCAGTAGCATAGGTGTCTGCCTGGCAAGCGCAAGGTCCTGAGTTCTATTCCTGGTACAAAAAAAAAAAAAATGAAACAGCGAACCTGGTAATATAGCAGAGTCACCTCCACGAGCCCTGGGATACTGCGGGTAAGCATGGAGAAGTCGGAAAAGATCGCTTTATTTTAAAACTGAAAATACATCGCTGTCCTGAGTCACAAAGTGCACTGTGCTAGTCAGCGGGGCAGGGAAGAGCCATCACCAGGGGAAGCTGAGGCCCAGTTCGCCCATGTCTTGGCCAAGAGGAAGCACGGGTGCCTGGGGGCTCTGTGGGTGCTTTGCAAGCTTCAAACTGGCCAAGCTGCAGCGGGAGTGGGCTGGGGACCGGATCCAGTGGCAGGAATGCCAGGAGGCCGTCTCGGGAACCACCCGGTGCCCACGCTGACGCGGCCTCCTCCAGCTTGGGTTGCGGCCGCGGCAGGTTGTTTCTTTACACCGGGTCCTTGTCGCCTACAAGGCAGGGCGACTGCAGAGGCCCGCGCACTACAGACTAACACAAGAGCAAGAACAAACCTCGCCTGCTCCATGCTGCAGGTGTCAGGTATTTTGTCCCAGGGACACAGAAAGTGACTGAGACAGGCGCTGTCCACGCATAAGCTGGGCTGTACTTGCGGCATCCAGCGACTGAGGGCTGGACCCCAGCCCCTGGGCAGACTCAGGGCAGGACAGGCACGCAGTGACCACAGGGGAAGTGGCCGGTCGACAGGAGGCTCCACGCACCAGCTTCAAGCCTATTCACGAGGAGCACGTGAAAGATTTCCACAGAAACGTGGTGCCCCGCGCTGGGTACCCCATTTCACAGGGAGCCGTTTGCAGATGCACCTCCAGCTACATCAAATCCTTTTGAAACCAAGAGGTCGAAAGAAGAGGGCACCCCGCATTCCTGTGAGAGGCTCACGAGACCCTGCCTGGATTCCGCCACTCTCAGCAGCTCCTTCCTCAGCTGCATGGTTCTAGAAGCTTCCTTGGCCTTCCGTCCTCCGAGCCTACCGTGAACTCTGGACACGCACTGTGAGGTGCCGAGATCCGACGGTTCTCCCAGGCCCGCCCCTGCCAGCTCTGACCTTGGTTCGACTGCTGTTCGACCCCTCGGAGGCACAAGTGTCTTCATCTGTAAAATGAGGGTGCTAATGAGCACCGGCTCCGCCCACCGTCCTTGGGAAGATCAAGGGAGATAAATCTCCTCGCCAGCTTTGCCAACTGCAAACGACCGTGCAAATTTAAATAGAAATGAACCTGGAGAAGGGTTCTTCAAACACTGGGCACTGCCGCCGCGGAGGCTCTGCCAGTGCCAAGCCTGGCCGTGGCCCCAGAGCCGCATCGTGCACAGCCCGGCCTCCTTTGGGAGCCGCCGCGCACAATTCCTATGGAAGGCCGCCTCAGCCTCAGACACCAAAGCACTCGTGTGACTCACAAGGACCGTCTGTCCACCCAGTCTGCTTTGTGCCCTCCCTCTTAGTGACCTGGGCCTGGCCCTGGGCTGGTATGAAGCATCTGGGAAGCACCTGCAACTCCCAAGAGTTCCGAGGAAGCCCAAGTTCAACAACAATCCAGGTGTTTGCAAGCCAGGCATTCCCCATTCTGAAAGGGCGCTCAGGGTATCGATAGCTGCACTTAACAAAAGCAGAGAAATTAAAGCCGGCGGAGGAAGGAAGGGCGCCCCACTGGTCTCCACCTGTGTTCTGCTTTCAGCTGAGCACCGTGGTCCTCGCTTCTCTATCTCCATGTTCACGGGCTGTCTTAGGTCTTCTTCCAAGTCAGCGGCAGTTGCCTTTTTTGAGGGTGTGGATCCCTCCGGAATCTGATAAAGGCTCTGAGCTGTCCCTGTTGGCAATCGAGACACGTGTAGCGGTTTGCATAGAACCTCAGGGTCTCCCAGTCCCAGGGAAAGCCGTGCCTGCCGGGTTCAAGGGTGCAGGGGGTGCACACCGGCTTTCTACCGGCAAAAGCTGCGCTCCTCAGGCCCCAGCTGCACCCGTGTTCCGTGGTACTGCATCAAGATATCCTCCAGCAGTGCTTTTTATGATTCATCCCATCAAATGCTGAACACAGGTGAGGCTCAGACACGAAGGGACCACAGGGTAGAGGGGTCCTGGGCAATGACTGAGTCCAAAAAAAAAAAAGAAAGAAAAAATCCAGGTTGTGTTTGCTAAGGGCAAAGTCCAAGGCTGCCTGGGGATGCAGGCAGGGAGTAAGAAGGGTCAGAATGAGGTGACCCTCACCTGTAAGCACCTTGGGTGGAGGGAGGGCACAACCAGCTGCTGGCAGCACATGGTGAGTGACAGGAGGGGTACAGTGAGACCTGGGCCGGCCGCCAGTTCTTCCTCTGCCCAGTGCAGCACTTGGCTCCCGTCCTTCCGCACCCCTCCTGGCACGCCCACATCTGCCTCACCCATACCTGCCTTGGAGACCTGCCTCCCTGCAATGGAAACGTGAGCCCTGTAGCTGGGTGCCCTGCGCCGCACGCTCGGAGACAAAAGACCTGCCCCACAGACCCCGAGGCCTGTACTGTGCTTTACTGCTGAGCCTTCTGGAGGCCAGCTGCTCACCTCTCAGAAAGGGGGCCCCAAGGTATTGACTCCGGCCAGCTCTCCTCTGACCTTAGTGGCCCTTCAGTCTGAGAGGGCAGGCAGCCCGAGGTCAGGAGGGCAATGTGAAAACAGCCTGGAATGAGGGGTCAAAGACCCCATCCTCAGCATCAAAAATGTTCACAGAGAAGTCCCATGCTGGAGGCCTCCAACCCATACAGGAGGAAAGGGAAGCCCCAGGGGCTAAAGGACGGGCTCTGGCGGATTCTGACAGAAGGAAGGACGGAAAGAAAGAAGGGGGAGGGGAGGGAAGCCTGCTAGGAGCCCAGCTGAGGAAGGGTGCAGGCCACCTCTCCGAGTCCCTGGGGCCCATGCCAGCCCAGACGCCCCTGTGGCCCTGCTCTCCCCTGATGGGTCAGCAACAGGTGCCACGTCCAGGTGAACCAATCCACAGGTTCAGAGAAGGGCCAGCTGGCCAGGACAGCTTCTGAGAACCAAGAAACTCGCAAGCCTCGCGGGGGCAGGTCGCACAAAGGACAGTTGTGTGCTGGCTCACTGACATTCAGGGGCCAAGTGACAGCAGAGGCGCAGGGAGGGGGGACACGCAGTTGTTGAAGGGCAGCTTCATTTCCCCGGAAATCCTGTGCTTGGGCTCTGGCCTTTCCCGCCCGCTCCTCCTGATTCTCCTTGAGCATGCCTCTCCCTCTCCGTCTCCGTCTCTGAGAGCCTGCGGAGACGCTGGCTCCATCATCACTGACCGGGAAAGGTTGAGATCCAAGGGAACTAATTTATGCAAAATGCTATTCGTCCATAGAATTGAAATGTTTCTGTTCGTAGAGAGGATCAAAGTAACCAGCTCTTTGCATAGATCTTTTTCTGACCCAAAAAAAAGAATGAAGTACATGGTCCCAGTGAGATTCTCTGTCCATGGACTCAACCAACCTCAGATCAAAAATATGCGGAGAAAAAAATACAGCGTGAGTACTGAACATGAGCAGACCTTCTCTTCGTTGTATTCCCTAAACTGCACGGCACGACAACTATGTACACAGAACCTATGCTATTAGTACTTTAAATAAGCTACAGATGCTGTAAAGTACATGGGAGGACATGAGCAAACTGCATCTGAAAACCTGGGTTCTGGTGTCCCAGGGGTCCTGGCGTCCCTGCCCTGTCCCGAAGGGCAGTCTGCCCAGTCAACTCTAAATAACAAGCTAACAAAGCGAGAGGCCCCGGGTGCACAGATAGGAAAAGGAGAGCTTTGCTGATTAGATTGAAAAGGTCTTCAAAGTCCAAGTACTGCTCTGCAAAGGCTCTTGAAATAAACAATGGTGGAATCTTTCTTCACTCACACCTTTTATCCCCCAGCCCCCAGGAATGTTAAAAATGCCTCATCTGTCCTCAGCCTGCCAGAAGGAGGAGGAGGAGGAGGGGAAGGCTGTTCCTTCTGAGAGGGGAGCAGGCCCTTTCAGAATCGAAGATGCGGCTCGTTTCCCTCTCTATCCGTCCACATTCCCAGGCTTTACCTCACTGGCTGCTGACCTCACCCACCCCCAGCCCTGTGTTGACCGAGCCAGCGTGGGCTGCAGGGACACTCGGTGGGCGCAGAGGCTTTCAGAGACGTTGCTCACAGCCTCACGCTCAGCGGCCGTTCTCCTTTCCCTGCCCGGGCCATCTGCTGGTTACTGAGGTTCCCTGACCCGGAGCCCGCTGGGACCGCAGGCACGGTTAATACTGCTGGTCACTGGCTGGAGACTGTCCAAACCAGCCTGGAGGCCACACTGTCAAGGCCACCAGCTTTAGCTGCTATGTCCCAAGGACGTCTGAAAGCCGATCTCCCCACAGATGTGAGGCCCTGGGATCCAAGGCCAGCACACAGCTCCACAGTCAGCCAAGGGGGGCACCAGGGGCTAGGGCACGGCCTGCTCCCCCAGCGACTCCGGAGAGCACAACACTGGACACGCCACTGACCGCACACTTCCGAATGGTTAACTGGATATTATGTGAATTTCACCCCAAAACCAAGCAAGGAGGCACACAGGAAAGTGTGACATTTCCCAGTCCAATCGTGGTCCCCAAATTCAGTGTTTTAGCTTTTAGTCACTGTGGCAAAACACCTGCGAGAGTCAACTTGTAAAGAAAAGGTTTATCTTAGTGGTCTCAAAGAGCCCTTCAGCCCGGGGTCCTCTGGCCCTGTTGCTCTGGGCCTGGGGTGGCATAGCAGGAGCGCAAAAGAAAAAGCTACTGACCAAAAGGTGGCTGGGAAGCAGACAGGAGAGGCTGGGGTCCCAGTTTCCCCTCCAAGGACACACCCCAGTGACCCACTTCCCTGTACTGGGCCCACCTGTTAACAGCCCACCAAACCCCACAGTGCTGTGGGCGAAGGACCAGGCTTCCTCACGGGAGCCTCGGTGTGTATGGAGCGGGCAGGGAGACAAATCCCAGGTACAGCAGAGTCAGAATTGCTGGTGACTCCGGCGAGGTCCAAGCAGGCGGTGCCTGGTCCCCTGGGAAAAGTGTGGAGTCCAGCTACCACGGCTTATACACCCTCCTTTCAGACTGTCCAATGCAATCCTTCGTTCTGTACTGAACTTTCAAATACATTTACCATTCCAAAAACATAACTTCACCTGTTTATTTCTATGTTTCCACAGCTCACATTTGTGGCTCTCTACCTTAATCATTGCTATGTAGGACTTGGTGACACAGTGTCTGTTCTTGGGTTGTCACCCTCCCGGGAAGGGTGGCCTGGGGTGTCCAGGCCTGGGCGTGGCTCCTTAACAGCCTTTCGGGCTGGACTGGACTGAGGTTCTCTCTGGAGCTCATCTGTCAAGTGGGCAGGACGTGCAGGTGTTCTGAGCCACCACAGGGGGGTTACTGAAGCCACCCTGGGCTGGAGCTCAGCCCTCCCAGGCATCTTAGTACGGTGGGAACAATTTCGGGGTCAGGTCTTCTGCACCTGTCTGCGGCCTCGGCCTCCCACCTGCTCCTTGGCTGACTCTCCCTGCCCAGCTGTGTGGGAACCAAGCCAGGTGATCCCTACACCTGGCCCATCCCTGTGCCCAGCGACATCCATGCACTTCTGTCGTGCTCACAGCGGGACCAATGAGTCCCAGAACCCACACGGCAGGAATGACACACCAGTCCCAAGATCAGGCCCCAGCAAAGCTCCAGATGCGGAACCAGACCCAGAGAAGAGAGCCCCTCGAGGTGACTGGGGGAAATCGGGCCTTGAACTTAAGAAGCACTCAAAACACACTCAGTTATGTCTAGGGGAAAAAATTGCTTGGAAGGCTGTGGGGAGTCTTTCTAAATGCAGTGAAGGCCTTGAGCTTCGCCCTCACAGGCACCTGGAGACCGCCTGTGGTCCACCTGCTGTCCCAGGGCACCAAGGGAGGCTCCCAGAAGCTGGTACGCCCAGGACACAGACAGCAGGCAGAGCCTCCCTCCAGCCTCCTCTTCCCAGGCGCCTTGCTGGGTCAGTAATCCTGGCACAGGGCCAAAGAAAGCAAAGCACAGAATGCCACCCAGGGAACTGCAGAGCCAGAGAGGGGTCCCTCTGTTCTCCTCTGCCTGGCACAGAACAGGGCCCGCTCCACTGAAGTCCACCCTGGCCCAGATTCTAGAGGCAAGACCATTCCTGGCAGCACTGTCCAGGAACCTGCCACGTTTCTCGGGAGAAGCAAGCTGCAGCACTTGTCCGTGGGTTTCGGGAACCCCACTCTCTGGCCCCGAGTGCCAGGCCAGAAGAATGCTAGGAATGTGGACGGCTCTCAGCAGGCTTCACCGAAACCCAAACAGACAGCCCTCCAGGCAGGGACTGCACTTATAAGGCAAGGGTCTGCTGCTGGTGGCTTCCCAGATCAAGTCTCTCAAACCCCAGGGGCCTTGTGGCTGAGGCCTGGCCCTGGTGCCAGCCAGCCCCTGAATTCCTCACCTCTCCAGGCACCCACCTTGGAGACACTGCGCCGGGGAACACAGCCCAGCTGTAAAAGATGGGGAGAGAACAAATCCTAGTGAGTCTCCCTCAGCGTAGCAGGACAGTCAGGGTTAAAGTAAACCCTGCAACAACCCCCGTGGCTGTCTGCTTTATTTGTCTGGAAGGGCTTTCAGAAACTCAAACCTGCCTCACAACTGCTTCTCAACTTCTCCTCCAAGCTCAGCTCCCAGTGCCGAGCTCAGCTGCCTCAACCCTGTCTACCTGGACAGGGGCTCCTTGGGGGGCTCTTAAATGAAGGTGGCGCAGCACGGGTGGGCAACCCTACCCCTGCCCGCTGACATGGCAGCGTGCCCACT